TGTTCATGATTGAAGGAATAAATGTCACTCGAATAACCTAAATTCAAATTGTCTATTTCCGGCTGAGAAGCATTATGCCAATTCTTCCATTCGTCTTCAGCTTGATGATTTTTAATTCTCATGTCGCCAACATTGCCGTTCCCCAGTGTCATTCCAGCCCGACTCTCACTGACAACATGTTCGCACATGTCCGCCGTCCATTCTCGTCTTCTAACGGTTGAAGCCATACTCGATCCTGGCTTTCCATGAACTATGGATGCCAAGCCGTCAGTGACCGCACTCGCACTAGTTGGTACCACATCACGTATCAAAGTAACGGCCGAGGAGGCGACGGATATGACTTTTGATTTACCTTTACCAGATGTTTTCTGGTTTTTGTCCACCATTGTTAAAGGTGTAAGGTATTATTCCAGTCGCCAATCAGATTCAGTTTATGATTGATCTATCAATATCAATCAACCAATGAGAGAAGGAGTCACAGATAAAACATTTTCATATAATTTCTTGTCGGTAAGCTAGGGCTGGTGAAGTCATGAGCAGGGAATACAGCTACGATGGAAAAACTAGACTCGTAAATTTGGCTACCGATGCGCAAATATTTGAATATTAGAATTATAGACAATGAACTGGATTCCATTCACGTGTAACTGTTTTGTCGATCTGCTGTCCATTTTGTCTGGTTTGTATGATTTATTGAATGTTCAAAAGTGGAAATTACAAAAAGCTCAGCGCTAAGTTTTTAATGCCACCGAAATTATAAAAATAACTGTTAAATTGATGAATCATATGACTAATGACATTATAACATCAAATATTCTAAAATTACAGGTACGCGTCATTTCCATCATTGATATCAATGACGTAAAAAAAAAATCTGGGAATATTTATGCTTACAAATAGATGGCTGACATTTCGAATTGAGATCGAAGGAGCAAATAGGTATTTTGGTTTGGTTCTCGAACTGTCGATCATGGACGATTCATACTCATATTACCGAGAAGGCGCAAAGTTGAGCATTTTAATTTCGTCCCATCAAATGTAATCGCAGAACTAAATTTGGTTTTTACTCATGGATTAGATCCAATTAACGAAAAATCCCTGATAACAGTACATTCGTAAAAATCAAAGGGTATGCTAATTGCATAGAGATAGAATAGGCGCATATGCCATATAATCACTCTGATGAGCATAATGCATCACAAAACTAAGGCGTAATAAAAAGATTTGCTCTCCAGCCTCGCTTGGTCCGTTAGAAAATAAAAAAGAACCAGTGCTGCTACAGCTATCACACGATTATCTCTCCAGCCTCATTACTCTTATGCAACACATATGTCACTTTGTTGCAAGATCTGCATAGTTTTTCTGTCACACAATAATTTCACGCGGCATTCTTTAAATCAGCTCGCTGTTCGTGGGGAAAGGGATATCCAAAAACAAGACAATTTCTTTTAAAATGCAACCAACAGCACATGCATCGCACAGCTCGAGTACATTTAGCGAGTCGTCTAGGGCAGCCATAAACCAGGATATGACAAAGTGTAAAAATTGTCAACTGTTTGACGTTGATAAAGATCCCGATGGATACAAGGGAGAGTACTGTTCAGACAGTTGCAGGGCTGACGCGTTACGATCTGGTGAGGCCACAAAATCGTGTAAGGAATGCAAGACATTTCCTGCAATTATGGCCTCAGACTGTTGTGGTTGGTTACAATGTCGACGATCAGGTGCCAACGCCATGTGTTATCTTTGTAAGGTAAATATTGATAGTCTAGCAGCGTAACTTTTTTTTTTTAATTGTTGGTTGGGATCTCCACTGTTGCCATTAGGCAATTCGTTGTGAGAAACTCGTTGATTTTATCAATTGATTCTAATCAAGCTGACCATGACCGCTTAATCTAGATCAAGAGAGTTTATGACAAATCCACGCTGTGGTGCAGTAAAAAGTGCAGAGACAACACACCAAATTGGTCAAGCCTGGTCCGAGAGAGAAGTAATCAACCATGTCTTGTCTGTGGACAGCAAAACTCGTTTAAAGGGCGTGATTGCTGTAGATACGAGTGTAAAATATGGATCAAGCGTTACGGTTAATCTCTGAAATTTCTGCTTTATCCAATTCTATTTACTGATATTGTTATCATTCTACTGCCTATCTAGCACCCTGCCTATTGAAAGTGCCGTCTACCAGTCAAAAGTTTTACGATATAACCCGTCAATTTGAGACGGCATGGAAACATACATACAAGACACTTCCTGAAATTCATTCGATTTGGAGGATATGTTGTCCAGAGAATTTGATTCGTCGTTATAATGAATATCGTGATGAAGTAGAGAAACGACAGAAATTGGCAGAGAAACCATTTCCCAAGGGACAGGGTCAACGGCGGGTTATGACGGCTGGGAATGAGCAGAGACGATTTCATGGGACTTCAATGTAAATACAATTTCTGATCAAGATAAGCTCCTATTTTCTAAAAAGATGAAAATATGTTAATTTACTGATTCAATAGGAAATGTCTCCTGAACCTACTTTTGAGCGAATCTCAGCGAGTACTTTGCTTAGATCCACAGTGTTCCTTGTGTGGAATAATACGCTGCGGATATAGTCTGAAACATGCAGGGACAAGCGCGGTAAGTGCGACTTTTCAGCGATTTGGACCAGGCATTTATTTCTCTGGTACGTCATCCAAATCAGACGATTACAACGAAGGCTCGGCTACTTTTTATAATGGAGAGAAATATAAAGCAATGTTACTGAATAAATTGATTGTTGGAAGAGGATTCACAGAAACGAAAGATAACGTACAACTAACTGAGCCACCGCCTGGATATGATAGCGTCCTCGGCGAACCAAGAATAACTAGCAATTTGAACTATGATGAGGTTGTCGTTTACGATGAACGAGCTTGCTTGCCAAAATATTTAATCATATACAAGTGCCCCAAAACGATTGCATTACACAAAGAGCCTATGTAGTACTTATACACCTGCGCGTGTGTATCCATGTGCTTAATCTGTAGTTGTCAAGTAAGACAGACTTGATTAGAAATTCAAATGATTCAAATGTAAAAGTACATTATCGTTTATTATAAATAATTCTCTAAGTGCTGTCAATACAAAATACAAATTGTCCACGTGATACATATTAATATGTACAAATATTTATAGTCGTAAATACAACTTAAATGTTGTCTTTTACTTTATATGTCACGGCCGCGAACGGGACCGCAGCATCCGTTCTATAAATCACATACTCCTCATAGTTCAATCGAGGTCCTACTGTACCATGTATCGAATGGTATCGATATGGAGGTTCGGTCAAATGAGGAAGATCTTCTGACGTTGCAAAATCGCTGCATTTGTCGCGTTCGACCCAAATTGAAGTAATAAATGAGATATCAAGCGAAGAAAATATTGCTAATCACCGCGACCTCCTCTTCTTGCTTCCATACTTACCGGCCAAGTGCTACCCAACAGAACAGTATTGTGTATGCGTTATGGTGGTTTCTGGAATCTGCATAACTATGTGCTTTAGACGAATTAGAAGCAAGTATATTCCGGATCCGAATCTGCAATCGACGCGTAAAGATTTCATGTTAGCCCCCATTATCTTCAGATATCATACACAATTCTCGAAAAACTCCATTTACCTTCTGTATGGATGGGCACTGCCACTTTTATTCAGATCAAAACCCTTTCTTAGAATATTACACGAGGCACAGGCATCATCTGATTCTGAATTACACGGCTCGTTCCCGAGCAGACATCTAACATTTGTGCCATGCCATAATGGTTTTACGTTCGGTTCAATGTTGTCAAAAGCCAATTCGGATAGATATTCATCGAATCTCTCACACAATTGCTTGTCATTACTCATGAACGAAACGGATTGGACTATTGGTATCTGCAAATGATTCGATTAACAACAGCGGGGTTAGTGAGAAAATATTATGCTAGACCAAAATAATTTATAATTACCCCAAGATGGAGAGGATGAGCCCATGTGGCATGGAAATAGTCTTCAATCTTGTCTCTTATTGTTCTAGTTCCAGCAAACACAGCCGCTTGTCGAAGTAACTTTTCAGACGAGAAGACTCGTCGTACGTTATCAAAATCCGCTCTGAATGATGGTGTGACCGCTGTTGGAAACAGTAATATGGAGGAAAAGTGCGAACCACAACAGCTTGGTAAGGGCCTTGGCTCGTCTCTTAAAATTCGACAGGCTCATAATTTTGATATTTACCTAGTAGGCAAGAAGCGCATTTGCAATCTCGTTGGGTGTTTTCTCGACCAAATGATGCTTCCTCTGTCAAATAGGAATGCCGGGTGTCTCGTTCTATTGGTCTTCCTGTCAAAGGAACTGCTTCACTGTACACGGTGTTTTCCCCAACACTTTCGTCTGACAAATCCAAGTCGTCGAATAAGTTCGCTAACGTGCGCGGTTTGTTGGTGTGAATGAACGACATTGGAATATAGTATGACAGGAGAAACGAAAGGCAAAAACGCCAAGGACTTGGCTCGAGATGAAGATGATGTATACCTATTTTTAAATATTACTATTTCTGTTCCAGATTTTCCTCCCGTAAGAATTAGGTAATCGGAATTGAGACACAACATCAGACTTGGTGACCCTGAAAAAACAAAGATTGACGACACACAAACGTATCCAATCATGTCAACTTCTACATACAGAGGTTTGCCAGCTGAAGCGGCCGAAAATATAACTGCAAACTTGAAACTGTCGACCCTCCATCTGCTAATTTGTTGAAGTAGCAGTAGCAACAAAAAAGGATTGGGGGAAAAAAGACCTTGACTATCACATAATTGCAGTTACCCGAAAAAGTCGAGTACCCAACCGTTACACACAAAATTTTCTAATAAAACATTCCCACCATTTACTCATTTATATTAATTCTACTTTGTCAATAACCTGCTCTAACGCAATATAAACTTTTGAATTAATTAAGCATATACACATCGATGGGGGGGCCGACAATCATTTTCCCATTATTAATCTTGACTTGTATGCTAGAGTGGGAATGAATAAATAAATCCGGGCAAATGATAGTCGGGCCCATTGATGGTGTCATATGCCGTCCCAATGGTACTAGTACAAAGCGAACAATGAGTTTAATTTAATTTTTGATATTTACGCTTTAATAAAATACGATCAGTTATAAAAGCTATGTCTACAATTGATAAGGGCTCATTTACTAGGAATGAATAAAGAAAGGGTTTCCTAATTAGCTGCGTCGAATTTGATAATTAATATACTCTTCAGCTAACAACTATTATTATATTCTAATAATAATTCTATACTTTGTGTTGTTGAACAGAAGTGTCTATCGCTTATGGGGCTAAATAAGACGGATACGTTAATAAATGACTTTGGGTTCGAGCATTTTCTTCCCTTGCAATTACATTGGTGCTTTTAGTACTATTATATTTTCAAAAGTGCACGCATTCCATAATCACGAAAACGAAGAATTTGAATTATTTTACATTGGTTGACTCATTAATTGCAATTGTGTCCCCAAAGCTTAACGAATAAGACCATAACAATAAAGAACAATAGGTCGCTTTGATAAATATGCTATATATTAATATATAAGGCAAATACAGGCAGGCTTCGCTGAAATTAAAAAGCTATTATAGTGATGTAATTCGATCATGTGAAATCGTGCGGAACGAACAAAATGTACAAGGCTTTATAATAAGTGCTATTATTTAATACTAGCAAGCAAGTTTTATACGTTTTTTCGGTGTCGCCTTAGCGTAATCATCTCCGTCATCAGACGAGCTTTGCGGTGTATGAGTTTCATATCTACTTTCCAAATTGTCCCAGACCTTGTTCGCAGTGCTTATCCTTTCTCTAAATGCCCACATCATTCGTAAAACAAAGGCGAGTTTCTTACTATTACTTTGGCAAATTACAACAGTTCCGATTCTACGGACGACGTAGAAAGGTTTTATGTAATCCATCTCGTACAGGTCTACTGCATATCCACGACATTGTGCGCCATATACACGTAAACCTTCTCTTGGTATCTTGTAGCCTTGTTTACGTTTTTTTCCTTTAGTAATATGAATCATGTCCCTCATTTCTCGAAGTAACTTGTAAAGGTCTTCAGCCGTCTTTTTCCTGTCTTCGTTCTGTAGTGCATAGGATATCTCCATAGTGAAACATCATTTGACACTGCCACGCCGTCTGCCTTGTGCCTTGTGGCTACTTTCAAGACGGATAAAACATCATTACCACCGTCTCTTCGGAATGCCGTCGACTCCAATTCAACTTCTCCCCATATATATTCAATATCATCTGCGCGTATGGCCTTTCCAATCACGATACTAATTATTACACTCCACATTGCTTCAGTTGTAGAACGATTTGAAATGACGTTTGTTTGGGTTGTAATTTCACTAATAAAATGATGGATCACGAGTGATGCATACTGTTCGAATGGAGAGACATTATCCTCTTCCCCCATCGTTGCACATATCTTGAAAAACTGTTGCAGTAAAGAGAGTTTACTATTTTCAGCGCCTCCTTGAAAAAGGGGTTGAAATTTCTCTAATCCTTTCTCCTCCGCAAGAGACAATTGTTTCCCCCTGAGTTGCTTCCATGATGCTTCTGAACACAAAGATTTGAGTAAAGGGTTCTCAAAGGTTTTCACAATAAGGTCATGTTCCACGCTCCGCTCATTCAAGATTATCTTAGTCAAGTATATTTTCCATATTTCCGTAAAATTCTCTCCAGACGTAAGCACACATTCAACAGATAGATGTTTGTCAATCTTCCAAATCTTGGGATATGATTCTTCAGACAGGCAACGTTTCTCGGACTTTGAACAAACAAATAGGGAATCAAATAGTCATTCAATAATATATTATTTATAATAATTTACCATAAAAGTTTCTGACCTTGTTGTCATCTATCTTTCCAAATCCTGAACTTTCATCATCATTGTTGTAAAAGATAAAAGGGTTCTCGTCATCATCAATATTATTATGTTCATTGTCACAAGTTGTGTCCGATTGTCTGTTCTGGGCTTCTGATATCTGGGTGACAAGTAAATTGCCTTGATTGATAGTTGCAGTATCAAGAATTTCTAATGCTTTGAACTGTGCATTAACTCGGACCTATTATGGTTACGTGTAGGTTAGCATGAAACTCAACTGCTGTATAAATATGCGAATATTACCTGTTTCACTTGAAGTCTTTTATTCCGTTCATAATTTCTCCAAAATTCCGTGACTTCTGAGGTGTATTTCTTTAATAAACAACAAAGTCGATTAATAATCAATTTGATATTTTAGGTATTGCTCGTTGGAGCGCACTACACTTGCGCCGAGGACGTCACCTATCCGAGAGTTGAGGGGCGATACCTTCTCTCAGTGGTGCAAGTAATAGATAAGCTCACAAAATCCTACGCGAGGGGCGTCACCTATACCCCCGTTGAGGGACGATACCTTCGGGAGTTTGCATAGATTTTGCTGTCAACGAGACGATATGTGCACAATAGACGATTACAACCTCGTAAATCAGATCCGTAGCTCGAAGTATTTGTTCATTTGTGTTGTGTTTGCTGACATCTTTCAAGTAGCTTACAAACCGCCCAAGTTGTTTTTAATGTAGTCACGAAGTGTTTACGTTAAACTGACATTTCACGGCGTTTAAAAATCCAGTATATGACCATTCGGTCTCACGGAAATACCCAGTGACTGAAGCTAAATGTGACAATTCAGACTGTATTATTCAAAAAATTAAAATAATAATAATAATAATAATAATAAATTAAATAAATAAAACCAGCCTAACATTGAATTTAACCGGAAAATGGGTAATAAACATACCGTGGTGTTGGTGTTGGTGTTGCAACTTCTTTTATCCGTCATCAAATAAGAAAGAGATGTCAAGACGGACTGTGTGCAAATGGGAACGCGTAAAAAATGCACGCGGTGCAACAATGAGATAATATTTATGTTTATTTGGCGATCACGCCACTGTCAGCTAGGACTTCCATCAAAAATTTTTGTGTAGTCGATTTGTTGCGTTTTTAATTAAGAAGTACAGTAAAGTTAGATTAAAAGTCCTGTGAGGCGAAGGAATCGCAAGTATGGTGATATACTAGTGGCGGTCAAGCAACTAAACGTCTTCCACTTTACCATGAATTTATACCTGAACTCGTAGACCTCCAACCTTGTTTGAACTCTTACTCCATTTGTGAAAAGCATTATAACCAACTTAGTTTTATCAATTATTGAACAAACGACGTCGGATTGATACTAATCCAGATGATACTAGTCTGTTAATTTTAACAACAACGAAACACCCTTCTCAATGATAGGTGACATTACTAAGAACATTTGAAAGTACTGAAGGCGGAAGCCTAATAACAAATCAGAAACCCAGTCTGTATCAGATCTTACTAACATTATTAGTCAATTAAAGCAAGTAATAGAAGATCAACTTCAGGATCAGAACTAAGAAAATGTCTTAATGAATATAACTCGCACAAAGAAACTATACCAAGAACAACTTGGGCAAACGGGAATCTTATTGAACAATGAAATTCGATCAGGATAAAGCCTGTTGTTGATATTGCGTAACTTGAAGGGAATCGCAGATATTAACATGGCAAAGTAGACGCAATCAAGTTATCGTAAAGTTTATCGAAACATTAATTCACAATAATCCTAATACAAATTCTCCAAATAACGAGAAACTTTACAAGGCGGTCTTGGCTGTAGACTTAATATATGAGTCCCGACATGGAAGATATGTGTCGGAAATGAATCTTGCTATCAAATATTTAATAGCACGGTATAATAAGAGTGGGATTAAGCATAAGGTGACGAATTGTGGATTAATTACTTAATTTATTTTATTTTTTACTCTATTATAATTATTAAAAAATTCTGTATAAACAACAACAACAATAACAACAACAATAATAATAAAAGAGAACAGACTATCAAGTTTTACGTACATACATGCTAAACTAACTACGATAGCTTTATGCCATTAAACGTGAAATTAAAGTTTGATATCATTAGCAGATATTGAATACTCCAGACATTCTATTTCCATTTTCATTCAATTCTTTCACTCACAACCCAAATTATAATGCCCCAAGTTTTTCCTTAGTAAACCGGTTGCCTAAAACCCACTAAATTCAGTCTTCAAGCTAATCCTGGTTCTTTCTCTCTCTTCTCTTCTCTCTCTCTCTTTTCTTTGTCTCTCCTCCCTCTCTTCTTTATTTCTCTCTTCTTCCTGTTTCATCTCGACGCTAAAGCGGATCGCGCTTTCTAGCTTTATCTTAGTTTCAGGTGAAATAGATGAGAGTGATGTCTTGAATTGAGGAGAAAAAGATGTGGCGAGTGAAAGTATGTGGGAAGTGGAAAGGTTATGGATAGGAGGGAGAGGGGCGGAGAGAGGCGGGCTACAGAGAAGTATCGATAAAGTTGGGAGGAGAGTCGAAGATAGGAGATACGGAACTGGTAACGCAAAATGTGTAATAGATTGATTGCACGAGTTAGTTAGTGGTTTCCCAAAAATAATAAAACTTCTCAATATCTTCATCTTAAACTTACGTTGAGCATCAGTAACTACCATGGCAACACTCGATAGACTCTTTAATGCTTCCTCCACAACATTCACATCTATATGCTCCCTGCTCTCACCATCATCGTCTTTCGATCCTTTCTCATTGACACTTTTGACATATTCTATGATCTGCGGAATCAAAAGCCTTGTAAAGGTTTGAGCCAATGAGGGAGGTGACGAAGAAACTGTCCGTTTTGCGAGTAAGAAAAGCGTGCGAGTGCAATGGAATGCTGTTGTAGCGATCTTTTGCGAGCGGAAAGGGTGATGCGCATATGAAATGTGATGAGCGAGATGTTCTCTTTCGCTGCACATATGAAATGATGGCATTCTAATTTCATACTTACCATCGGCTGAGGTAAATAGTAACACATCTTTAATATTCCAGCGTACTGTTCCAGCAATCGACTATGGACGGTGACGTTCGTACTAGTTGTAAGAACGAGCGTGACGGATAATAAACTGTGTTTAACAACCAAACATTCTTCTTCAGATAGTTTATCCGTTCTAATAAACGTGTTGCATTGTAAAACGGGTAAATATTATTGAATGCATATGATGTACATTCGTTCGTTCAATACATAGGCCAACTCACCCAACACCGACAACATCACAAACCCGTGATGAGAGAGCCTCTACGGTCACTGCGATAACTCTTTCCAGCAAGTCTTTATCAACGAGTTCACACCCACTGAGACTCTCGAGGATTAATTTCAGATTCACAAGAACGTGTGGAACAAGATCAGCTTGAAAATCCTTGTGAGTTATCATCGAAACGTATATGAACACAACCACAGGTAGAACGTTTCCTGTTGGAGTATCCTTATTGATCTTGCTGTCATCAACTGTCATCGGGTTATTATGCTCTCCCAATAACCTAAACAAAGCCGTCATAATATCACACGTCATCTTTAAAACAATAATAGATTCCTGAGACGTACGCGAAACCACTGCCGACTGTGATCGGAGAAGTGAAATCGAAGATGAAGGAGAGGTGGAAGAGGATGAAAAAGAAGACAAGGAAGGGTGATTGATGAAGATGATGTGAAGAAGAAGACGAAGTATGTGATAAGTTTTGGTCCCAAAATTTTGGTCTGCTCCATCGGAAAGGGGTGAGGACGTTGAAATGGGCGGTGTGACGGCGGAAATGGGATCGAAACTAGAAAAGGAATCATGATCAATATTCAATGTCCAAATACAATTAGTCATCAAGCCTGTCAAGAGTTGGGTCGATAATGTCATAGATTGTCAAATAAAATAATCCGGGGTAGGAAGCGAACGAAAAACCCCCAACCTCTAACATGTAAATGCCATAATATTTCTTACTCACCTCCCAGTATCCAAGTCATCGCAACACCACTTTCCAAAATCTCTTGTCACATTCTTAATGATGTTCAGTACCTTAAATTGCACCTGAATACCTTCCACAATTACCAATTTGTCGAACAAGCTAAGCATTTCTAGGAACACAGCCTTTTCCAAAAAAGATTCACCGACACAAGAAGGCTTCAATATGGATGCCAACGAGTCAAGGCAGACTCGGAGAATTTTCGGCGAAATTTGGGAGGACGAAAGGGATTGGATACATAAACCAAAGAGGATAGGAAATGTCAGAGATTGACTAGCTGGTTTGTGTATGGTCTCTGTCGATATTGCTGCGGATGCCGATGATTGGGGAGTAGTTGGGGGAGTTTCATTGTTGAGCGATTGAGCGATCAATGAATTATCCACTTCTATTAGACTTGCAACTGCTCCCAGGATGGTCAACCATGATTTGTTGTAATACTTTAAAATAATGTGTGTTAATTGATAGAATTGAACATGATTTACAGGCCAAAAAATGAACATCCCTCTATATGTAATCACACCTCTTACTTACCGGCAATATAACCTCTCTCGTCAATCCACCATACATAGAATCAAACACTTCCCCCTGCCCTAATCCTTTCCCCAATATCCCTCCTCCATCATTCCCCTTTCCCTTTCCGTTCCCTCCTATCCCCTCCATCTCGATCCACTCCTCAACCTGTAATCTCGCATAATCCCTTAAGGATGAAACCCACAGTGGACATAAGAGAGGCAAGTTTGGAGAAACAACCTGAATTAGGTAGGGTTGCTTTAGGGTCGAAACTTGTAACTCTGCCCAGGCATTGATTATGGAAAGACGGACCATGATGGATGCGTGTGGAGATAGGGGCGCCGAGGAAGACGTCTTCCTTGGGATGGAATCTTGATAATAGTGTTGGGAAAAAAAAACAACAGGTGGAAAAAGTTGTAGAAAGAGCATACGATGAAAATTATATGTACATACATCTTTATGCTCACCTTTACAATTTTCTAATGCAGTCGTAAGCAACTTTAATATTCTACCCATTCTATATAATTCCTTCACAATCCCGCTGCCAACAAACACCCCGCAGACTTTGACAGCAGCTGAGAGAATCTCTGGAGAAGTATCCGAAGAAAAGGCCGGTGTCAATGCAGCACCTATTTGAGCCTGAGGAAATGAGAAATGAGAGTGACTTTGAATTAACATCCGCACTATTGAAGAGTTGACAATAATGATGAATACTCAACCTGATACTGTTCTAATAATGCAGCTTCTTCGAAATCGGGATCGGGCGTAGCAGCGAATTTCTGTAAACAAAAAGCAATTTGCAAAAAGTTATGTAAAGTGTTCCATTTCTTACTATATCAAAAAAATTTTTTGATGAAATATTTCCTCTACCTCAATAACATCTCTCAACAGTTCCAATCCTTCTAACCTCATTTCCCCCACCAAGGCCGTGGAAGCAGTAAAGGCCATTTTAATCAATTCGCCTACTCTCAACACGAGATAGTCTTTATCTTTTCCTTCTCGTGCAACAAGCAAATCAAAGTGTTCCCTGATACCGTGTGAATGTATAACCTCGACCACTTGTCTCAGACATTGTAAAACAAACAATTGTGTTCGCCAACGGGGTGGAATATGTATTTGATCAGAAGGAGTATTGTGCGATGGACGGGAAGGAACAGTCGAAGAAGTAAATGTGGACGTGGACGCGGTTGTAGGGAAGGAAGAATGAGTCGGAGAGGCAACAGAAAAGTCTTCAGTTTCATTGTCGAAAGATGTGTATGTGTTTATATTTTCCTCTTCATTTTCAAAAAAGTCCCCATTGGTTGTATCTGACTCATTGAACGTTGACACGGCAAGAGAATTACTCCCGGATGTAGATCCCTGTTTAGACATTACTTTTCTACACACTTCGACCCACGTCGATGGGCTATTTATCGCCGTTTGCTTCAACCAACTAAGTACTATATCTCTCACACCGTCTACTGATGGATCTGTATCCAGCAACGAGAACAATTGATCATCTAAACCCGTTGAAATTTCAAAAACTTTTTTTGCATCTCGTTGTACCAACTGATACAAGCAAGTAACAGCCACTTTCTTCAACGGTAGATGCATGCTCGATAATTGCAATTGCAAAAATGAGATTAAAGATGGAAGGTCAATGTGTTGTTGAGCAAACATGATAAAATGTTGAATGCATCGAATAGATTCAACAACAACGGAAGCCTCGGTATCGTTCTTTAGCTCCGTTACAATTCGTAGACATAAATCACGGATTTTTATGTTCTGCTGGAGTTCAGGTCCAAGTGTGCCGATAAGCCCGTAAATTATCTTACCGAATTGTTGATATGCTGACCAGCCTAATCCGACATTCGTGGTGCCAACTGAGCCACCGCCTGGTTCATGTGTTTCGGCCATATATAGTTTTGCAATTATACCCAAAGTACTACTAACATACTGTGAGAACATTAATCCGGCAGATTCTATCGTCCGCGAAAGTGAATGTAATGCCCAGAAATGTACTACCGGATGAGGATCACTGCTGAGCGAGAGCAGTATTCCAACTATTGTCTTCAAATGGTTCCCTGCTGCCATTCCTCCTACATGACTGTATATGTTCCCAAGCGCAAGTGCGCTACCTGCTCGTGAATCAGGATCTCTATTATTGACCACTTGATCAACTAGAGTTTGTATCTGTTCCGGAATCAGAGATCCACCAAGAATGCTTACTAGTCTGCCGAGTGCTTCGCTGGCTACGTTGCGAAGATATGGATCAGAATGGACTATGGTTTCTTGCAGCAATTCCATCGCCATTGTTCCCACATTCTTATCTGCTATACACGGCATGGATTCGTCTGTTCTCTTACTGGATGACGTCATTATATGTGTAAACGCCCCTAAAATTGATACTACCGCATTGACTTGTATAGCCATTTTACGTCCAGGAATTTTGTCTAATTTGGGGTTGCGAACCGACTTTGTTAATTGGTCCAGTAATGACAGTTGAGATGTTGCGTTTTGGAATGGGAACAGGGTAGAAAAAAGTTCGATGCTACAGTCAACTACTGTTGTAGCAGGAGAATGGGGTTTGGGGATATGAAGAGACGACGCAGAAGACCAAAAGGTAGTATATATCATTAACGAGTCATGTTCAGGAGCGCCAAGTACTGGTCTCTCCAGCTGTAAAAGAGTTGTAAAAAAAAAGTAATCAGCATTATGTTGATATGACATTTAATAACATAAACCGTCCAACAAAATTCACTCACCAGATTCTCTACTTCACTCTCTACCATATCTCTGTTCAACCAGTCTTTACGTCTACTTCTCTTGTCCTCTATAAATCCATCAACAACTCCAACTTCAACGTCCATTCCCTTCAATTTACTAGTCACACCGTATCCATATCCATCTCCAACAGTCCATACTCCACCAAAACTACCTTCCCTTGTAATAGCTGCTGTAATAGATGATCCGGTGCTCTTATCGGGATCCGCAAAATTGGATAAACACATTTTCAGCAACTGTGAAGATAAGTTGTCGTAAGCGGTGATTGGTTTAATGGCCAGAAAGCATTGAAGTATGCGACGTTGAAGCATTTCGATTCGATCAGCTAACGAAAGCGAAGGGGGAAGTATGGGAGAGGGCGCTGATGGCATTGCAGAAAGAAAAGCAGGAGGCACTAAAGAGATGAAATTCAGCGTGTTCGAGAGAAGGGCTGCTAATCGTTTGGCTACGTCGGGAGTAACCAATCTTCCATTATGTAACAAGAAACAGCTTATGGCTCCTAGTACACATTCTCTAACGTGTAACATGAACGCCCATTCTATCTCGGTCCTATTTGCGTATCCTTCCTTTGTCGGTGCCTTTGGCAGAGCCGTTTTCCATAATAACAACAGCTGTGGTAGATGCAGTTTTACAAAATTAGGACCCAAACACATTAACGAACCTATCAAGATCCATGCGACCTGATTGTGAACGCTAGCGATTGGAAGTTCTTTGTTGGAGCTCGACTTGATGAGCGAAGTAGAGAGAGAGAATACTCGGGCACTTAGCTCGAAAGAGACGTCAAGTGGTCGTGCAGGTATTACGCTCAGCAAGGCTGCTAGACCATGCGCATAGCCTACTGTCTTTTTATGCAATTCAAACGATACACTAGCATTGCTCATATTATTCGTGTTACTAATACTCTTGTTCAGTAACCCGAGAACTTTGGTAATCAATCCAGTCAGCAGTCCTGGCATTGAAAACGCAAAACTTCTTAGGCACCAACTAGCCGCTATCTGCACTGAATAGCTTGGATGTTCCAACAGTTTCACCAACTGCTCGATAACTGTATCCCCAATTGCGCTGGCAGCCCCTCCAAGATCAATAAATAAACCCGAAATTTCATCAATCGCACATATCAACGCATATTTTGACACTTCCACGTCAGTTTGTTGTGGAGATTGGTATCTGTTCAGAATGTTATTAGAAAGGGAAAGGATTGCCTGTACTTGACCTTGCTCGGTCAGGAGACGTGTGGAAATCACATCACGAAGAAGAAGTGAGCAGTGTGAGCGTACGGTCAGGATTGAAAAGCGAGTGGATGTATTGCGGGCATTGGATACTATGTCGAAAAGTAAGTGTTTCACGATTGAGGTGTAGTTATTTTCTACGTATTTTGTTCCCAATTGAATGAACAGCCCAGCATACGCTTCGATAATGACACTCTTCATCTCTCGTGTAGTTTCCTTTTTGTTGTACCACCCCGACAGAAATCTAAGCATTTCTTCTACTGACATCCCTCCACGTTCTTCGTCGTCTTCTGTGTTGCCTACAATTACGCCTTCATTATCTTCACCTTGTCCTTGCATTCCTTGTTTTTGGGATGGTTTAGATTTTAAAGTTGACGTAGGCGCCATAAAGGTTGAATTTAATTGAGTCTGAGCGAGGAGTGTTGAAATGAACGATGCGGCTGTTCGACGAACGGTTGGGTTAGGCGGATCAAGGGTTTTGAATACTTGCATTATGTAATGATCAATATCGCTATGCGAAATGGACTGAGGAGTGCAAGTTAAGAGCGTACGGAGACACTAATAAGGTGTATATTGGAATTGATAGTAAGAAATAAGTACAAAAACGATACAAGATTAATAATTACAATGGAACAGACGAATCGACAATCCACAATTATGTCAAACTCTCAATGAAACACGCTTTCAGAAAAATCTAAAATCAAATAATACCTCGATAGACGCAACTCTGATAATCAATGCTTTATCTCCGAGTCCTGACTTCATCTGCTTTATAACGTCTTTTATTGTCGCTTCATTCGCTCCTTTCCCAGAACCCTCCAAAATTCGTTTTATTGCGCCGATAGACTCCAGTTTTAGAATTAGTGGCTGGAAAATAAAATACCACAATATATTGAAAAGAAAATGATTTAAAGGGAAGAGGTTGATCAAGCGGGATAAATTGTGAAAATTTGCAATTGGTTAAAAAGGAAATATTTTTAAAAAGGAGGTATAAATTTAATCGCTGTGAGTAAACGGAATAATACCCAAAAAATATCCAACAACATTCAAATCCATAATCAGCTTAATAAATAATCTTACGCTAGATGAAGTTTTTATGATTTTCAAGCAAACAACAAGTGTTTCTGGAACCAAAGACAGCATCTTATCACCGAGAGCATTCATTATTACTCCAACGCAATGTAAAGCGGCTCTACGTGTAAAAAAAAAAGATCGGTTGAGACATTGTGAATTTAACTTGCAAAATCACTAAAGCCTCCTCCGACAGTTCTCTTTGCCGATCGCATTATCAAATTGGCCATAATTGTCTCCATATCTTGCATCAATTCCCTGCTTTTCACCGCACGTCCCATATTCCGCACATCCCACATACCCCGCATACCCCGCATACCCCGCATACCCCGCATTTCCAACACTACTCACAATCTCACCTCCTTTTCTCCACCACTTCCCTTGCCTTCACCCTTGCAAATCCCACACAGCTTCGTGATCGTATCAAATAAACTTCTTGTATCCCCGTTGGTATAAATCAACACGAAACATCTGCCAAGAAGTTGTCGTATAGGACGATGGGGTTTGGGAGAGGGCAAGGAAAAGCATTTGAAAAGAGCGGATTCAAGATGAGATTGGGAGGTTTTTAGACTTTGCTGTTTTGAGGCGAGTTGGAAAGAAAGTAAAACTAGATTAGAATTGGCACCAAAACCCCCAAAAAAATAATAATCGAAAAGAGATGTATTTGATGTAGATCGCGCGGATAAGCAAGTGCATTACATACTTTCTACAATTCCTTTTTCTACACTTTCCATTTTCTCAAACTCACGCGATCTCTTTATTAAACGTTGTCATCAACCAACCTTACTCGCCCTAAGCAGTTCTCGTTCTGCGCTAGCGAGCCAATTAAACAAGTATATTTCTTGCTTTTCCGGGTTCCCGGCTGCTGATAGTTTATTTTCATCTAATATAAACACATGAGAATTATCCAATGGATTGGCGGTGGGCGTAGACGTGACTGTAGATGCTGACTGACTATCAGTTGGTATTGTAGTAGAAGATACCCGCGGAGAACTCATAACAATGTAGATGTGCAAAGCGAGAGTGTATAATATTTCCCTACTACTGGAATTTTATAAGTATCTGTGATCAAGTTTGGTAGATCGACTATTATTGGACGATCACCAAATAAGGTTGACGAAACGACAATCGAAATGCCAACACGCAGATAACGTGGAAGACGAAATTGACTCGGGTTTTACAGATGACGTTGGCGTATTTTAAACATTCTTGCTCACCTACTCTGATGCGCAAGGTTGTAACACTGATACAAAGTACTTTATATATATAAGTACGAAATTATTTATCGGGAATTGAGTCTTTGTTGTGAAGGCATAAGTAGATATGTAAGTACGTGTTATTTGCTGCATTTGACTATTCCAAAATATTGGCTTTATGGCTCAACTATTGTTATACCAATCAACGGTACAATCAATGACTTTTTTATAATATATCATACAGTAATTCTGATCTTTAATGTTCAGCTTCGTGTTTCGTCATAATAACTTGTCTGTACTCTAATCATTTAATTACGCATTCACGTCATGGTGCATTTCCGATAAGTGATTAAACCGACTTTTTCGTGATTGTTATTATACAATCAGATTGTTCCTGGTATTTCTTTTTTTGCTATATAGTAATTAGAAAAATTATGCGGCTTTTTTAACTTATGCACTTACTATTTTACAAGTTTCGCATATCACTTGTTTTCATCTTTTTATTTTGTTTTTTTTTTAATAATAAATATAAATACAGAAAAGCCCCTGTATGCTACTTAGGGTAAACATGTTAGGTACACTTGATTTCAAATACGTGTCATCCCATCCTCACTGTCAAGGCGACCCAGAAATCAATTAGCCAAGGAATACATTTTGCATTGTTCTGAAGGATGTCCAAAGCGCTGTGCGAATAACATCTGGCCTTCCCACAGGTAATAGTCCAAATTCGTTAATAATATTTTCACCACTTTATTCTGACCAGTTTCTCACTTTTCTTGTTTGTGTCACTTTTACTTTCCTTACCCTTCAGCTCAGCGCCCTTATTCCGGTGATTTGTTTTTGCGACTGAATTTAAATTTATCGCCTATTCTTTACGCCCTTATGCGATGTACCTATGACATAATCATAACAACAACTATTATTATTATATCGGTAGAAATTAATTATTCTAATTTAAATAGGGCAATCTTCGATTCGTTATGTCGACTATTCCATAACTAACTAAACAATGATCGTTTACGATATTAGCTTAAATGAGCCGTTTATGCCGAAATCTTACAGCATCAGCCGATTTCATCATCAGCCGCGACAATAAATATTTCAACGATGAAAGAAAAAAAGTGATTCGACTTCAAGTCGTTTATTTAATACTTATTGAATGAAGAATCTGTCCGTCCAATATTTCAACAATTAACGTATCAAACATGATGATGGGTTTTTATATCTTCACCGTGACGGAAAATTCGTCACGATAATTGCTCTAAGAACGAAGTTAATGATGTGATTGCAAAAATGCATCCGCCAGGTATTAAAATTGACGTTGATTATTTTTATCACATGACTAATCTTATTCATCATATCGGCTTACTGTAACAATTTTATTCTATCTTATCTTCCATCAACCTTTGTCTTTTGTACTTTCTACTCTAAAAGGTCAATCAAAATTTTTTAGCTTAATTAAAGTTGCTCTTCTTGTTTCTTCTCACCCAGCAGTTTTTTCACCTAAATTCAAAAACAAAATTTATGGTTTCTATCTTCTTCATCTCATTAATCGACTTTGTTATTATCGCAATTAATTAGTCAGGGTACTTATAAGTAGAATTCTAAGCAGTTAAAGTAACAGAGAGAAGGTGACAAAGTAAATTCTGTAATCACGATTCCTAAGCCACTTGAATGACGTCAAATATTAATATTCACTTTTGCCCCCCATATTAGAAAGAATGTTTCACCCATTGTTTCTGCATGTCCCAAGACATTTGCATAGTCAAACGCAGGGGCGAATTTGCACATCAATTCCACATACTACTCCGTTAACGAAGCTCTATTATGACAAAGTCTCTTTATGACAACGGTTGCAACGTTCTCAAAATCTACTTTATCAGCCGTCTAATGGTTAGCCTAGAACCATCGAACATTTAGTCGTTTTTAGTACGCAGAATGGCAATGGATCCACAACGGTCACATGCTAAGTTGACGATAGTTAACCACATGAACTCTTCGTCCTACATAAATTGGCATGTGAAATGACTGGGCTAGTTCTTATCCTCTGACAAGGCAAAAAATGACGGAACTGGCCCTTACAAATTTCGATGTGCTTCGATTAATCGTCGAGGATATTAGCGACCCAAAGACTATATACAATTTTGCCCTCGTCAATCGTCTATGGAATGATGTCTCGACAAACTTCCTGTGGAGCAACGTCCAATTGAATAGTGTCCGAGCGGTTAACGCCTTTCTGCGCACTATGGATATGGCAATAGCCGGACGTACAAGATATCCGTATACGACGATGAAGAAATGGATGAAAACTAATATCGCACTAGAGGATAGAGACTTGTCGCGCATTTCAAATAAAAATTTAGCACGAGTGCTTGACGAGTGTTCAAACGCAAAATCCGTTAGGCTGGGCGAATTCAATGTTGGACATACTATCATCAGAAGCCTTATACGTGTAAAGTCGATGAGAGAGTTGGCTCTTTCAGACTTGGTAATTTTAGACGTGGACGTGTTACGTTGTCTCACGATATCGCATTTCAATTATCTCCAGAGCATTGAATTTTATCTAAGCTCGGCGTTCATAGACCCCATACTCGTTCCGATGGTCAGGAATAATCGGAATTTGCGTTCTCTTGGAGTGAGATGGAACGATGACAGTTTAATACCTTTGCTCGACTCTTGTCCGTCTTGTCTCGAAAGTATAACTATAAAGTGTGCATTCGAGCTTCTGGAGGACGAACTCCTAGACCTTATTACACGATGTACTAAAAGAGCGTGTAAACTGTTTTTGTCGGGTCCACCCATTGAAGCAGACGTCCTTATCAAATTAGTGGAAGGCTTGACAACTGAAACCAAGGTTTCGATCAATCGAAGTGGTTATTTCATGTCCGAATATTCTTTAATATATTCACATGATTCGCTAGAAGTAGAGACCGCGGACTATGATGAGCTTCTAACTTTTCCAATGACGTCTAATGTGAACTTTATATCTTGGGATTAACTTTGCTGGGTCATTATGTCACGCTTGAATTGACTACCGGATGTAAATTTTGGCTTGCGTTGTATATCCGGCCGTCTACTTTGGATATTATTTAGGTACGCTGTATAAACATAGAGACTATATTTAAAAAGAAAAGGTTAATGAGTGAAATGGACGTTTCTATTAAGCTTGCATGTTCGAGCATGCTTGAATCTGTTAACTTATCATAGCGAATAGCAATCATTTATTCATAGACAAGGAAAGTCTAGCAATACTAGTATTATACTAGTTGCGCTTTGCTATCAGTCTTACAGCAAATATTGGGGAGACCGATTCGATTAGTAAGTATCTCTCCTAAAGCAGTATTTGAGTAACAAAATATGTAGCAAACGCCTAGAGTTTCTCAGTGACTGTAAACATAAGCACACTGTAGCAATATTTAATGTATATATTTTTTATTCTCTAAGAGAGATTACTATTATGTTTTTTTAAAAGAACATCATCTAAGCAATATTTTCTTTGAATATAAGCATTATTGTAATTTTTTGTAATATTAATATGTAAAAGAGTAATGCCTTTGGCATGCAATCATAGCTGGAAAATAAGCCTTATAAAATAATTAAATGAGAGAAATATAAATAATATGCAATTTAAAAATATTAATTGTTGTTTCTTATTGATATTGATTTCAACACTTCCTCTTTATAACTATTACTATTACTATTACAGTATTACTACAGTATTATAATTGGCGGATACAAGGTCCTATTGGTTACTTGTAAATCGTGGGAATTTTCGCTCGGTCCGTTTCCTAGGCTACGCAGCAAAACAAATTTCGTTGCCCAACAATGGACACCAAGCGAAAGCCAGACTAACTATTCTTTTCCCTAATGTGACGTTGCGTGGCCAGATCAGAGGTCGTCTTTTGGCGCTATCTTTGAAAGACAGACTTGAATACTTTGAAGGAGAAGACGAAGAGGTGTATGAAACTCTCAAAACTTTAATACCAAGTGAAACAGGTAATAGTAACAACTTTGTGACTCTGGCGTTGGGGACATAGAACTGGAGGGAGAATATGAATGATGGTTAATTTGGCTAAAGCATATTTTTGTTATTATTAATAGCTGGTAAGTTCACATTCAAAATATCTTTGTCAATTATTGTCACGGCTGATGCTAATATCGCGCTTTCTTCCATCCGTTTACCTTCCTATTGATGTCATCTGCTTTTCAACGACTAATCGATAAGTAAACAAAGTCAATATTAGAACGAGCGTTGTTCAAGCATTCTGTGATTCAGCCAGTGTCGAATGGCCAATGAGCCAATGAAACTTGGATCCGTCCTTCTTGAACCGTTTCGCCTAAAAATTCCTATCGAAGCTGAAGTTTATAAACTAGAAGCTGGTGTTATTGTCGATAATTATTTTATTGATGCGGACATTGTACATGCTACAGCCGGTACATTTGGTGCACGATGTATAGCCGCAATTCCTGAGATTAGGTAATCAAAAGCTTGAAATAGCAATTCAAGCAGTCGAATTAAACTAAATCAAAATCAATCTAAATCCAGCAAGCTGCCCAGCGAACGAAAATACGCAGGTGACGTTGAAAATCTATGGAAAGATTTTAAAAAATTCTTTGATAAGAAATCTGAGCTGGGACCCGGACTTTTCATTTACCAAAGTGGCTACAAATCCGCGAGCTACGCGGGGGGAAAGGCATTGCCAACTCTACACTGAGTAACTTTTACCAACGAAAAACTAATCCGCGGAAAATAACTGTCGAAGCAGTACGGGAATGAGTTGATAAAGAAAAGGGGATGAAAATGATGGTGTTAATAATAATGATAATGATATGTAACATAGACTTCACTAGCGCGACTAAAGTATAGGAATACTCATCAATGGCTTTGGGTCCGAGTATTTCCTCTCATGCAATCTGCTCCAATTCCGTGATTCTAGTCATAAGCCTGGCATTCTCTTGTTTTAATAAGTCGATTTTGGATTGCATGTTTTAACGATAACTTTTATACAAATGCGGAAAGGCTGAAATTTCAGCGGTTAATATGGCATAAAAACCGTGACGATCAGAATCACACTGTAAAATGCAACACGTGATTTGCACACCGGTTGTGAGATTTCATGCACCATAGGTCAGATTTAACGACTCGCACCACGCGAAGAAAATAAGTTTTTACATGTAAAGAAAGTTATTTTATTAAGTATATGTGTTCTCTATCTAATTAATTTTATTGAACATGGTATAAAAGGAGTTCATCCATATCATCTTCTGTTACAGGTGTTAAATCTTCATCAGGTAAATTATCCATTCTCGTAAATCACCTGTATCATCTTCAACTGAAGGAATAAAAGAACGAATTTTTTTCTTGTTCTATGAATTCGTTTCTTATAACCGCAAAAAAATTAAAGATTTTTGAATAACACGTGATGGCTTCAAAAGAAAAAGGAATTATACATGAAGCTAATTCTAGGGCTAAATACTTTTTTTTTTCAACAAGTGATACAGAAAATAAAGTTAATCGGCCAATTGCTTGAATGCTATAAGATTTGACTTTCTTTGCATCATCGATTGGGCAATCGAAATTGTTCGCCAGTATCCTACACAAGTTGCAAATGGCCATCATGAACATTCTTTTCGATCCACTCGTACTTCACGTTGATGACTGGCTGAAAACGTCATACGGACAGTCACGTTACTGTAACTTGGGGTAGTTCATTCGTCATATTCTGCAGGGACATTGCATAATCTTCACATCTTTTGCCATGGATTTCTCTACGTTTGCGCGAAATTATAAGGAACTTCTACCGACTGCAACCCCTAAAGAGCTCAATGAAGCATGGGGATTGGAGCTTGAAAAAAGAAAGCTAGAATTTGAGGAACTTCGACTGAAAAACACAGGTAACGACTTTGTGACTCGGCGTAGAGTAGGACAGTAGAACAGTTTTATGAGTAGAATTGTATTAATGTTTCAGCATTGACTTTTAACCTTCCCTTTTTTTCTTTCTATTTATCTATATATATAGCGAATGACAGTATGTTTTATTATTCCGCATTTTAATTTGTCGAAAGGAGCAGTGTTGGATTTGTTTAACTAGCTAAATTTGATATGATACTATCATTATCATAGGCATACTTAAAGACATTTTGATGAATGTCAACACGATGAAACGTCAGCTAGAACAAGCATATTCATTTTCAATGTTATCTATGAACAGTACGAAGCGATTGAAACTTGTAAATATGTATAACATCAAAACCGCGATACAATTCGTATCATTCGACAAGCTTCTGACAATAGGTTTTGAACCTGGACGGTTCATATGGGATAACAGCCATATAAAAGACTGGCACTCAAGAGCTTACACTGATTACATTTGCACTGACTTTCTTGGACTTGAATATCTTAAGAATCATGTTGTATTGAATATAAGTCAAAACAAATCCTACTTTGATGCTCCTCACCTGCATGGCACAGCTGATGTAATTGTGCATACAAAAACCATAGACATACTCAGAAAATGTG